TGATTATATAATATATTATATTGTATTATAGTTGTAATTTTTAATTATATTATAAATGAAATATTAATATTTCTTATGTAATATTATAATATATTTTATAATATTATAATTATATTAAACATTTTAGTAATATTATTATATTCTATATCATAGTTATATAATATGTTATTTAATAATAGTTTTATTGTATTATATTAAATATAATAATAAATAAACATTATATTGTAATTATATATATATATATATTATAGTAATATAGTCGTAATTTTTTACTATCCACAGCAATTCATCTCATAATTTATCAAACGCTATTATACTGATTGTGGAACTAACACAATTATTATAATTATAATTTACTAAACACTTAGCTACTTTTTATAACAACTATTTTTTTTTAGCACAATTAAAAGTAAATTTTTCAAAATCTACAACGTTATCAAATTAAGCCTTTGTTACGCCAATACTTGTACTATTATACGATACAATTCTGATGCTGGATCACCATGAGCTACTGAGGAACCACCCTTTGGCATGCCAACTCGATGCATCAAAATTTCAAACCGATAAGCGCGATGATCAGGGAACGACTCAAAGCATGATGTGTTGGGTGTTCAAAGGAGAGAGTATGGCAGCACACATGGTTACTGTTGTTATCATTTAATTAATGGACTGAAGAATTCAATACATCAAGGTCTTGTCGCATGAATGTCTGGTTGATTGACGGTGAGGTTGCAAAAGAAAACTAGAAAAAGAGATGAAATACACAGAATTTGAAATTGTTGAAAGATTGCATATCTTCTCATCTGTAATCTAGGCAAATGATGTTACAACCAAAAATTCAAATCTGAACAGCAAGAGTAGCTGAAGAAAAGGAGCATATGGACGACTAAGCTAAAAAATTAAAAGAGCAATACTCATCCCTAGTCCTGTTGACTCAGAACTTGGTAAGAAGCACGAGATACATTTTCAACAAATCTTGTAGGAATTTAAAAACAAAACGAAACGAAAACGCTTGTGCTAGACTTTGTACTTGCAGAGGTTTTCAAAGCCCATGTATGCATGCCGTTCGATCATGCCGATCATGTCCGATATGCCCACCCCACCTAACAAAGAGAAGCCAAAGTTCATTAGGAATTAGGATACAAGGACTTAACCCAATGAATGTATGCATTTCACCAAACATGATTACAAGTTATGCTCACCTAGTGAGATTGCACTGACAAATATTGTAAAAGCTAGAATAAAGATGATTAAGGATGCCCGTCCGAACAAAATAATTAGCCTTCGGACAATATGCTGTCCTACAACGGCCGCAAGAGTAGCCACAAGAACGAGGTAAACGGCTGCAATTGAATTATGGAACTTATTAGTATACATAGAAATTAAACAAACCAAATCACATGTTAAGAAGCCAAAGCGCCTAAATATAGTAACTTTAGAAACGAAATAAAGAGATTGCTACAGCACAAACCGTAAGGAACTGGAAAACGTTTCAGAAGGTAGTACTCCACAACAGACATAGATGAGGAGAACATCATTGCAAAGGTGGCTGTGGCACTTGAGACCTGCCCAGAAGTCATCCAAAATTAAGGACCAAACCGATTCACTCGGATAATTCATGTATGATTAACTGTGAAGTGACGAAATATTTTGCCCCTGTAATAGGCCATTGTCAAACGATAATCTCCTTTAAAATGACGGCCATCTAAACAGAATTATTGCTTCGAGGTTCCTTGATTGACATCTTATCTACTTCTTTTAAATACCCAACACGTTAAAGATGTCTCCATTACACCAAACCCCAAACTCTGTTTCTAGTTGGAACATGGTCATTAATGAGTAATTTTGTTTGCAGACAGGAAAATATTTAGTGCTATCAGTATAGACAAAAAAAACTGTCCCTCATTTCTCAACAATTCACCTGTGGGGGCACTCCCAGCTCAAGAAACAGCGGGCCCATAATGAACCCTCCACCAAGTCCGAGTAAACCACCAACTATTCCTGCAAGAACCCCACAAGCACAATAAAGAGCCAGCTGGTGCACTTTGAAGTTTGTTCCATCCTCTCCCTTTGATGCAATTATTCTTCGTCCCTTGTACAAACTAATCGCCTCATACAATGTTACTCCAACAGAAACTGGGATCTGTAGAATATGAAAAGAAAATTTTTCACTGAGATTCTAAAGCCTTTTGGTAACCCGGAGGACAATTCGCTCTTGATGGTGTTAAGCTATGACTTCTTATAATATGACGTAAAACACAAACATAAGCATGATTGGTTAACTGAAATACCTGCATCAAGTTCAATACCCAATATGCCGTTGAACAAGTAGATGTATAATTCTGTACACAACATGGCACAGTTATATACTAGTTAGTTTCGCATTTTGTTACAATCAATCAAAGTTGCACCTTTAACAAACTAAAAGAGAAGTATTACCTTGGCGATTTGCAGTCCAAGGTATGCAAACCAGACAAAAACTAGAAGTCCAAACTCCTTCCAGCGAACATTCTCAAGAATTGTGACCTGAAAGGTTTCAATCGATTTAGCCTTCATTATTCTACTGAGAGGGTTATATTTTCCCAAAATAGTATTATACCACTTACCTCTGGTTCCTTGTCTTCTTTCTCTGAGTTATTGCTCGGGCCAGCAGGAAGAGGCTTATATTCTGCACCTCCAGCATTAATTCCTGATTGACAAGACAAACATACGGGCTGATGTTATTACTTACTCGGTGATCCATTGATAATACACTAAAGTAACTACGAATCAACCTACCGTCAGATTCCAAACGCTTGGTGGCCTCCTACAATTTGATTCAAAAGGTTAGCAAAACTAGAAAATATGCTTACAACTGATGAAGAAAAAATCTTTGTTTCCAGCTCAAAGGATGCTGAATTCGTTTTCTGTTCAATAAACTGTATGACATAGACTTATTTACCACCTTCTTCATTATGGTTTCCTTTTTCCATGTTTCAACGCCCTTGAAAAATGCCTTCGTCGATGTGCCTGCAACTCAACTCAATCAGTGAATTTGGTTACTATTGCAGAAGGCCCTACAAGGGGAACAGCAAGTCAATCAGCTATTACCTATAAATAGAATAATAAGCAAAACAGTAACCATCCAATCGGCAAAAATCACATTGAATGCTACTCCAATGCTAATTCCCATCATGAGCATCGGTTGTATTAGCAAGGCCAAATCGTAGTCAATAATGGGCATATCAAGAGTGGGATGTCTTAGCTTAAGGTTATAGTAAACAGTTGAGACAGCTCCACCCATTATCATACCTGGCAAGAAAACCAGATTGCATATCCTCGTAAGTTTTCCAAATAACAATAAAATCCTTCCTTAAAACTTTTTACTTAAGAGAATACATTTGTCTAAGAACTGAGGAGTGACGCACCAATGCAAACTGCCTCAGATAATAATTCAATCGTCAGAATTGAAACTTAATCAAACCCAGGATTCAAAAAGTCCATCGACAAACGTTTCATCTTTAAAATAAAAAATTTTTAAAAAGTCAAGTGGTTAAAAATAAGATTTTTCCGGGTTCAAAATAATTAATTCCGCTACGACTCTTTTAACTTTCCGATCCCAAAAGTCAACACGATTAGATTTTCATTCGATCTGCAGCCTCGGTCTTATTTTTTGCACAACTCAGTCACAGCTTAAGTTGTATTATTATATATTTTTTCTTATAAAAATTTAAATTAAACTTTTTTTATCACAATATTATTCTCTTACGCATTAGATTTTCATTCGATCTGCAGCCTCGGTCTTATTTTTTGCACAACTCAGTCACAGCTTAAGTTGTATTATTATATATTTTTTTTTATAAAAATTTAAATTAAACTTTTTTTATCACAATATTATTCTCTTACGTACACAACTCAAATTCTACGTTCGAGTTGTGAAACAAACATACTGCACTTCTAAACAGTCAAAGACCCAACGTTTCTACAGACAATTACCATCCCAGAAAATTTTCTTTTCTTACATTTCGATATTGCTGTCGCGGATTTTGCGTCAAACCCAATAATCAGGCTAAGCATAGGGACAAAAATCCCACCACCGCCGACACCACCCACACTCCCAAAAGCTGCTCCAAAGAATCCAATTATAGTGCCCAGAACAATTTGCCACCCAAACTTCATGTCCTGTAAAGAAAAGTTCAAAGTAATCTATGTCTCAATATTATTATTACGCCCAAAAAGTCAGAATCTACTGTTTATGGCATCTAATGGACGACGAAGTTATGGCAAAGCCAATAGCAAAAGCCAGTTTAGCTTCTCGTTTGATACTTTGTGGGCTAAGAGGTCAAATAATGCCCATCTTCAAAAAGTTTTCTGATTCCAATCCCATCTTCAAAAAGTTTTCTGATTCCAATCCCATCGACATGATTCACAATTCAACATAAGAATTTGTTACATACAACTCCCCAGGCAAACAAAAGCAAAAAGAAACTGACAACGCATACAATTTATTGCATAACCAAACACCAACTACTCCCAATCCAAAGCAAGAGACAAGAATTAAATCTGATTTAAGACAATTTTATCGTCTCCAGTATATGCTAAAAAAAAGATAGCAAATTCAAGCAAAAAAAACTTAAAATACAAATTAAAACATATTCAAAGAATTTTTTTTTTTTTTTTTTTTTTTTTACCGGCCAAACGTGTTGATAACCTGAGGCATCGGATTGCCACAAGAAATTCGCTGCTTTTTGAAGGAAATTGGATTGAGATCCTTCTTTTCCATCGAGCCTCGAAAATTCCGATTTGAGACCTCTCTCGGCCGATACGAAAACAAAAGCTAACAAAATGTTCAACAACACCATAGACGTCGATCTCTGACCTCTTCTTCTAGCTCCGATCGCGTCCATATTCCGAATCCGATTTTACTTTCCAAAACACAACCAATTCCCTCAGGATTTTCTCCCTTCTAGGCTAGCTGAAATTCAGACAAGAACCAAAGCTCGAAGCTCAAAGCTGGAAAGCTCTCAACCACAAAAGCAGAAATTTTCTCGAGAAAGTTGAGAGAGAAAGAGAGAGCAGAGAAAAAAAAAATGCGTTATTTCCGTTCCCCGAGAAAGTGAATTTAATTTATATGAGGAGGGAAAACTGGAGAGAATGCGTTGTCCTTGTTTTCCCTTCTCCGGAAGGAAAATACAGCGGAGAGAAAATGACGAAGAGCAAAATAAAACTAGCCAAAATAGAGTTTTTAATGCAATAAATGAAGGACGGAGAGAGATGAAGAGTATATAGTGTCCTCTCTTGTTTCTCTCTCTTTCCCGCAGGCAAGTGCTGGTTATTATAGAGGCTTTGGAAGCGTAATATGTAGTATTAGCGGGGAAGCCAGAGAGAGAGAGAAGAGAAGAGAGAGAGAGAGAGAGCAGAGTGGGAGAGATTTGTAATTACACAACTTGTTCTGTTCGCATCCAGGGAGAGAGAAAATAAAAATGAATTAAGGATCAATTTTGACACGTGAGCTTAGGAATCCAACTCGATCCTACGTGTGTTTTTCTTTCTTTTTCTCTTTCTTTTTTTTTTTTTTGGGTTATGTTTGCTTTTAAAATTATTTTTCTTAGAACTGTTTTTGTTAGTTGTAATTTACTGTAGTTTGTTATTCCTTTATAGTGCATTAGTACTTGGTATCTATATAAGTATTTCTTAACCTTCTATTTTGAGTTTACCAAAAAAATATATATACACACACTATAAAGTCTCGTTTATTTCATCGATTCGAGTTTAAAATTAGAGTTTTACTACAATAAAAAGTTTTTTAAAAAAATCACATTTAATTTTTTTGTTACAGTAAAAAGTTTTCACATAAAATCACATATCAACTCAAATTAAAAACTTGAATCAACAAACTAAACGAGTCATATTTTACAAAATCTCAAGATTGTACTTCTTGAGAATCCGTTGGGTTCTGTTCTTAAAATTATTTTTTTGGCGTTTCTTGAAATAACCAATTTGCAAATGGTTGCTTTTTTATTTTTTAGAGTTATCAATATTATTATGCACAAAACAATTTCTTACAATTTCATAAATGATTTAACATTATTTTAAAAAATTCTTATTTTCATTTCTCTACTTAAAAAAATAAAAAATAATAATAATAACCATTCTATGTCTAGGTCAATATAGCTTATTATTATCCCTAAAACCATATATATAATCACGTATGTCATTGCATTACGTTACAGATGTATATACAATCACTATCACACAAATAACATCGCCAAATAAAAGTCGGCTATTACTTATGATGGCGTTTCTTAATAAGGTAAATCATTTGCCACGCAAATATCTTGTGCTTATCACATTGGTTGAACTCTAGCATTTTCTAACTCCCACTCCACGTAATAACTTGACCAAAACTTTATTGTTCTTGATTGGCAATACGTAATTAACCAAATCAAAAGTAAGTACTGATTAGGATTACAGATGATGACGAATAGTCACGATTTTGTTTGAGTTTTTAGCTCTCTATATGCACTTGCTAATGACATTGTGCATTACGCCCAGAATTAATTAGTAGGTAGCTAAATCATGCTACAAAAAGACATGTGCATGTGAAAGTAGGAACACATACAAAATCAACATTAATTGCTGCGGTACATGACAAACATATATCTATATATATGGTTGGACCATCGTTTTTCTATGTTTAAATAAATATCTTTATGTATGTATATATTCTTATAAGTCCTCGTGCATATTATAAGATTCCGTATTTTCTTTTTCCCCATGCAAGATTCTTTTCCTTCTTTTTTTTCCAGTCTTTCCTCTTTATCGGTTTCCTTCCAAGTACGGACAAGGTAATCTACCGTTGAAACATTCTAGTAGTTTTTTAGCACTCTAATTTTTGTAGATGAAGTACAATACAATTAATTTTTGTGTTTGGTGGAATTGATGGAGAAAAGTATAATTAGGAAGAAGGAGATGTTGGATCATAAGGACTTCTCTTTACTTTGGAGGAAAAATAGGTCTAAATTAAAGAATCTGTTTGGATTGGATCAAAAAAACTATATTTTATAACAAGTTACCTCATCAATATTTATGAAAAAAGAACTTATAAAAAGTTTTTTATTTACATCTTTAATCTTTTATTTGTGAACAACAAATCAAATATTCAGTTTAATATTTATATTACATTATTTTTTACAACAATAGTTACTTTTGACTTATTTACTCAAATAGCTTCAAAAGCTCTTTTTCATAGACTATCCAAATACTAATTAAAAGAAATGGCACAAACTCTACCAAATAGGTCTAGAGTTAATTAAACAGTGTTCTTGCCCTTCTTCAATTTTTTTCCTTCCCATCCGGCAGCCCCCGACAATATAGGATTATTGGTTTCACCCACTCATTTACCTAGTCCTACCAAATATAGTGCATTCTCAGTTTTCAAACTTTTTATTGCTAGTTACTTTGACAAATATTTTAGCACAGAAAAAAATAAATATCAAAACTCCATAGCTGGCTTGTTCACCGAAAGTTGACAATTAACAAAAGCTAATATATTAACATGTTTTTTTTTTCTTCAAAAACATTTAATTTCTTTTGCTAGTAATCAAAATATAAAACTAATACTATCTATTGGAAGTTCAATTTATATGTCGATAGTTTTCAAAAGCGTGCCCACACTACCCAATTGATGTAAACGCATGGCCCCTGTTATATTAAATGGGTCTGGTCAACCATCATTTATAGGCATATATTAGAATTGTGATAGAATATTTTTCAATTACTTAAACTAAAAGAGGGAAAGACATCTACTGAATTCTACTATAAATTATAGTATTTTATGTTTTTGTATAATTATTAGTTACCACATGTAAAAACGTAATTATTAAAAACTCGTCTATATAATTATATTTTAAATATTAGTGTACGACTTAAACTAAAAGAGGGAAAGACATCTACTGAATTCTACTATAAATTATAGTATTTTATGTTTTTGTATAGTTATTAGTTACCACATGTAAAAATGTAATTATTAAAAACTCGTCTATATAATTATATTTTAAATATTAGTGTACAAGTCTTTCCATCCATCAAGAATCATGCAACATCATGAACGATCATTTATAGTCATATATTAGAATTGTGCTAGAATATTTTTATAAATTATAATATTTTTCTGTTTTCATATAATTATTAGTAACTACGTGTAAAAATGTGATTATTAAAAACTCGTGTATATAATTATATTTTAAATATTAGCGTATAAGTCTTTCCATCCATCACTAATCATGCAACATCATGAACGATCATTTATAGCCATATATTAGAATTATGATAGAATATTTTTCAATAACTTAAACTAAAAGAGGAAAAAACATATACTGAAATCTACTATAAATTATAGTATTTTTCAGTTTTTATATATTTATTAGTAACTATATGTAAAAATATAATTATTAAAAACTCGTCTATATAATTATATTTTAAATATTGGCGTACAAGTCTTTCCATGCATCACGAATCATGCAACATCATGATGGATAAGATAACCATTGCTTCCTATTTCCCATAATACTAATTCATGTTATATGCATTAAATAATGACCTATATACCAAGTCAGTCGCCCACTTGTCCCCGGTGACCAACCACAAGCATTTCCTTGCCACGTTGGAAATAACGAAACAGAAAAAAGATATACATATATATATATATATATATATTCAAATGGAAAAAAAAACCTAATATTAATGTTAAGTGAAGAGTCGTTATCAATGTAGTTCAAATGGAAAAAAAAAACCTAATATTAATGTTAAGTGAAGAGTCGTTATCAATGTAGTCGCTGATAGTTGTTGGCTAACATTAAAAGACAATATATTGCAAATTTAATACGGTTACATGGAATATAGTTATACATATATTATATGTATATGCGTCGATGGTATTAATTACTAGCTATTCTTTAGGTTTACTTTTTTTTCATAAAAGAGTCTTGGCCACTTTGGTATTGTTGTGTTATTAACATATTTTATGTTAACTGTAGTGTGATCAGAAATAGACATGTCTAGCAAACTTTTATTCAAAAGCTTCTATGCACACTAAAAGGAGAATTTGGGTGTTTAATAAATAAAAATTATACTACGTTGTAGGTTTGTATCAATGAAATTAAAATATAGTAATTTTTTTGGAGTATTTTAAGAATAAAAAATTATATTGTAATGATTTTTCACATCTCATACTACAAAATTGCATTGTAATTACTATAGTACTTATAATTTTCACTATTAGTAAATTATATTAAATTTGTTACTATATTTCAACGTGACTAGTAATCGCCTTGTAAATTAAATTGTTGGTAGATGTATAATGACTAGAATAAATAACTTTTATTTTCATCTCATTAACACAAATATATTTTTACTTATTTTATAGTTTTAATTTTTATTTCTTATAGGTCAACATTCATATATTTTTACGACATATTTTGAAAGAATACACAGATATAACAGTTTTGATTTTATTATCTCAAATATATTTAAAAAGAAATAAATTACTATTCTTGTTTTAAAAACATTTAATAACTATTAAGAATATTTGAGTAAAATTTGGCGTTGTATATATTTATTAAAGACTTTTTGATAAAAGTTTGTAACTTTTAAGCGCACATATATATTTAGTATGATTATCCTCTTCATTTGTTACAAACATAGGTACAGAATTATAGTTTATTATTAAAGATATTTTAATAAATTTAAACATTAACAGTAAAAGTAGTTGTGCGAAGACGACCATTGATCTACTTCTCGAGTTTTATTGATTATAATTTGTTAGTAATTTTTAAAATATGATAGTTAAAAGTAAGATTTATCAATACCTAAAAAAACAATGCCAAACATGACCTTCAATGTTGAATTATATTAATTATAGTACATAACAACTAATTAGCTTAGTTGCCGTCCATATCTACAACTATTAATGTTAAATGTACAATGATTTGAGTACTGAATTGCTAATTATGCCAGAAAGAAACTTTTCCTAAAAAATGATTGGGAATTGGGATAATCCAGAACATTTTTTTTTCCCGCTCTACCTTGGAGTAAGAACTGAAACATGCTTTAAATTGAGAGATATTGAATCATAATAGTAATCTATCGTAATAGTAATTTGAACAAAAGATAGCTTAATAATTTTATGCATATGAGAAAGGCTGGCATCACTTTTTTTGCCACTATATTTATCACTTTCCGTATTTACTGTTTGATATGTGGATTTTACTAATATAAAATAATATTGTTTAAACAAAAAATGAGATAATAAAATTCATGTGTCAAATAGTAAATTGAGAGTGACAAAAATAATGATGTTCACATTTCTCCATTGCATATATATGTATATGAAAAATGCTA